ATTTTGCCCAATACAGTAGGTTTTGCACATCTAGATTTGGAAGGATGAAATGAACCGGTCTTTGAACTCTGAATTAATGCCAAACTCAAAAACAGTTTTACAGATTTTATTGTTGATGTGCAAGGCGCTCTCAGTATTTGCAATCTGCGCGCACGGATTACTAATCTGTGCGCTCAGTTTCTGCAATCAGTGCGCGCAGATTGTGTCGACAGGTTGGACGCATGGTGTGTGTGGTATCCGGTTTTATTGTGAAAGGCTAAACAGGAAGTGAATACTGTGAGTGCGGAGACAACTTGATGTTTCGGGGTTTAGTTGTCGCTTGAATCCTTGCCTGAGGACACAACCGTATGAAGCCGCATCTACAAGGTAAATCCAGTGGATCTGTTGTTATATAAACTTAAGGCACTGTCGTGTTCTCATCAACACAMYTTTTAGCCACAGAATGTCCCTGAAAAATTCATCAAAATCCGACGTGGTTATTTATTTATTTTCATATTTTCCAGGCAAATGAATCCCTCCCGTCCCCCGTTTTGTTGTGAAAGAGAACAAACATCTGAGAACCGCTGGAGAAAACCTCAGAGCGGCTTGCTGCAGAGAAATGTCCCCGTGAGGAGAGCTTCATCTGCAGAATGATGGGAGCCGCAGCCCCGCTCTTACTCTGAAATGTTTCAAACTTTATTCAGATATTTCTGTGGTGTAATAAACGTTTTTGAAAGAGTAATAAACATTTCCTAAAAGTTCAACATAAATCTATTCAGTACTTTTGTGATAAAACCCTGAGAAGGCAGCTAGCTAACTTTAGCAAAACTTCCCCGTTGTCAGGGAAACTGTAAACATCCGGTAACCACGGGCAGAAGCTTCCTGTAATGATCAGAGCTGAAATAGCCTTTAGGAGACCAGCGGCTGTTTTTTTTCAATGACGTCACGTGACGAAATGACGTTGGTGAAGAATTTGCATAATGACCGTCTCCTAGCCACGCCCCATGACGTCACAATTTGAAAACGTTAAAATTCAAAGTAGCTCAGATCAGTTCAGATCAGATCAGTTCTTTTGATTTTGCAGAGAGAACATATAACTGCTCGGTGATATATATATATTTTAAATCAAAATGTCTAAAATACTTAATATCATGTCTCAAGAAAACTGCAACATCAAAGTTTTCAACATCTCCAGCTCAGCGCAGCCCAGGATAGAAGGAGGGAAGGAGATAACAAATGACTGGATTAAAAGATTGGACTATCATATTGCTAGATTTGATGAAACAAGGGAACGCTACCGGCAGAAGGCTAAGGTACTTGATGAGCAATTTAACGACTTGGTGGCAAACTTTCAGACGTCCTTAAATAGGAGAAATGCTAGAGTTCCTGATAAACCTGTGGAGTCCAAGATGAACCAAACCGAAGACCTAAAGGAAGAGCTGCAGACCGTGTTACCAAACACACAAAGGACCACTACTGAAATCACAGCTCCACAGTCAACCCCTCCTGAACCTGTGATTCCAGATGTACCAGAGACAGCTGCTCAGACCCCAAGTCCAGAGCCAGGGTCCTGTAAATGTTGTTGGTATTTTTCCACTAGAAATATGGCAGATAGAGCAAAATGGGCTTTGAAATGCGTGTCCTATGTAGCCATATCAGTTGTGGCTTATGGTATTTACAGGCTTTTCACTTAAAACACAAATCCTTTGAGTTTGGGCGGCTTGGTGGCTCAGATGGTGGAGCTGATGCCTCTCGATGATGGTGTTCTTTAAACAGAGAGAGAGAGAGAGAGAGAGAGAGAGAGAGAGAGAGAGAGAGAGAGAGA